TCCCTCAGCCCGGCCTGCACCCTCTCCAATCAGGGACACCTTGGGGATGTCTGACTGCCAGTTTAGGCAGAATCGGCCTAAACTGGCAGTTGGACATCCCTCTTGCAATCCGGGACTGCTGGCTCCTAACCACTCACCTGCCTGCCTGCCTGATCACCCCTAACCACTCTGCCTTCCTGCCTGATCACCCCTAACCACTCTGCCTGCCTGCCTGATTGCCCCTAACTGCCTCTGCCTGCCTGGCCACCTCTAACCATTCTTCCCTGCTTTCCTGATTGCCCCTAACCACCTCTGCCTTGGCCCCCATCACCATGGCTTTGTCCGGAAGGATGTCTGGAAGGATGTCTGGAAGATATCCAGTCTATTTGGTCTAATTAGCATATTACCCTTTTATTAGTATAGATAAAGTTGAAATTAGTGTCTGTATATACAGTCTTTACTTCCTCACTTCTTATTCTCTCCTCAACAACTCTAATTGGTTTTATGCTATCTCTACAGGCAGTATTTGTTGCTGTTAATCTCTTCTCCTCCTTAGACCTCCTGGTTTTCCCTCAGAATTCTGAATGTCTCCCTTAGACAGCCTATCTGAAGAGTACTGCTGTCCCAATGAATCTCCTTAAGTAGGCTGGCTTGATTGAGGTTGAATGAGTCACTGAAGTTCTAAAGAAGGCAAAAGAATGAGTTCATGATACTCTCCAGAGTCAAAAGAGAAGTCTGGCCAGATGACAAGGGTCATACACAGAATGGCATGACCGTAGTGAGCTTCACTGTCCAGATCCTGGCCTGTAGTCTTGTGGGGTGCAAGGGTGGGGAACCTTTTTTCTGCCAGTGGCCATTTGGATATTTATAACATCATTTGCGGGCCATACAAAATTATCTACTTAAAAATTACCCTGCTATATTTGGTCAAACATTTCATTAACTCATCCCTAATGCCTTGGCAGGGCCAGACTAATGATTTCCTGGGCCATATATGGCCCTCAGGCTGGGTGTTCCCCACTCTTGGAAAGAAACTCAAGTTCACAGATCCATTATTGTTCTTAAAAAGGACAAGGAAAAATGTCTAAACTCATAAGAAATAGCTGTACAAAACCCCCAAACACCTTTCATTTATAAAGAAACATAACTTTCAAGTATATTCTCTCCATATAGGAAAATAACATGGGAAGTAAAACTATCACAAAGTTGCTCCTATTGGATTTGAGTCCATCAAGGGGTTCTATGCATGACAGACTGTCTAATGGTGCCAGGCCACCTCCACATCAGGAGGGACCTCTCAAAGCAATAATCCTAAAGACTTGGGAGAGAGGTGCCCTCCCTCATCAATGTTAGATTAAGGAGAAAGATGACTGCTGTTTAAATACTTAACTGGTCTTCTGTTCAGCATTCACTCTCTAACATAATATCGGGATATTATTTTTTAAGATTATAAGTACACCAGTTCCCATGTTCATTTTATCTGTTGACTATTTCCTAATCTCTGGGGAAGCTCTTCTCTCTTGGGGAAGGCTATTCAAATGCTCTAAAGCAAAGTTCCCCCAAAGCCATTGATCAATTTCATAAATAGTATTGCTGGTAACAAATAAAAATATTACTTATTTTTGTTTCTAGAGAAAAAAAACTGCCATGAGAGAATAAATATGTAACTTCCATATCTATCCAAACTGGGATGGAAAAAAAAACTAAAATAGTACAGTTTTACTTCTCTACTCCAGTATTCACTGTATTTGTAGATTAAAACGGAGAGAAAAGCCCTAACAGCCCAGGCTGCACTTAATAGATCCTAGAAAAATGTACACATTGACCTTCACTACAACTGAGAGCTACTCTCCACTAGAAAAAATTCTGTTTCTTGAAATCCAAAATGTCACTTAAGAATACCATTTAATCACAATGTTCGCCACAGAAAATCAGTAATTCATTCTTTGAATGACATATAGATGAAGTTTACAAAAGGGAGAAGTTTGATGCACCTGTGTCTGAGAGCAATGAATCAGAAATGATCCCCTTCGAACAAAATATGCAATTATGTTTGGGTATCCAGAATTTCAATTTAAGTTCTTGTCTAGATTTCTTTGTCACCATTAATGATTACTCAGTTCTTTATAGGATGGTTATCATTTAATTCTCAGTGGTTCTCTCATGTCACTCACTTGATGGACGAGATCATAGAAGGTACAGATGAATATCTGGTGTTAAAGCATTAAACGTCAAATAGGTCATGTTCCACACACAGAGAGGCACTGGATTTGGTAGAGTTCTGTGTTGATAATACAGTCGATGAACCTTCTAGAAGACTGTGGACATTCAGTTTTTCTTTCAAGTGGTTTAATATTGGTATGTTACCCACCAGGTTGTTAATCAAAGTGCTGGAGTTAACTACAGTAACAGGTTCATATGATTAACAAATATATTTGGCTATTAAGGAGACAGCATAACATGGTGGTGATTTTATGGGCTTTCTAGAATGTAACACATGCCTTTGAGTCCAGCTCTGACATTGTGAGACCTTGGGCAAGATAATAATATCTCCACACATATGTAATACCTTAATCAATAAAGAAAAAATAAAATAATAAAAAAGATAATAGTATCTCCAAGCTTCAATTTTTTTCATGTGAAAATGGTGTTAATATTACCTCTTAAAAATAACTGTGAGGGCTAAAAGAGGTAATGTATGAAACGTGCTTGTCATGACACCTGGCATAAAATAAGTGCCTATAATGATGATGATATACGGCTTTCCAAGTCCACTGATGCTCTGACTTCCTGAAATCAGTTATATCATCAATCTAAAGCAGTATAGATACTGCATAGGATTTATTTCTCCATAATGGTATATTTCAAGAATAATATTCCAATGAAGCCATTTCTGGAATATAGTTTATAGGACTTTTGATGATAGCCTTAGTCTACCAAGTGGGACTTTCCCAGGTGTCTAGTACCTCACCATGATGTCAAGTTTTTTTGTGTGTGTGTGTGTGTTTTTTAAGTACCTTTTTGAACATAACTGCTAGGGGGAGAGATACTGATGGTGTTATATCATATTCACACATCTTGTCTTAAGACAGTTCAGAATGCCACACTAGTCTCTATATTAAGCTAACCTTTCTCTAAACCACAAGTCATGAGAATTGGAGGAGGTGACATTTGACTTCACTACCTGTAAATGACCTTTCTTTGATTCGTCCCCCTCTGCCCCACCGCAGGCCCCCTCTCAGAGTTGTCAAGCAGGAAATGGTTCTCCATTTCTATCCCTGTGTAGCTTCTAATTCCCTAGGTTGCTGCTTTCTGTTTGTAATGCTTCCTTCTATTTTTCTCAGTCTATACAGAATTGTTTAAACATCTGATCACACTCTGCTGTACTGTGAAAGGATTTCGGTTTACAAAGAATCGAGGCTTCTTACAAACACTGGACATGTAATTCCATGAGTTTTTTCACGGGATTAAAAAAAATAGGATCGTACTCCTACTGGCACTAGCTTATATCCTAAATATTCTCCTTGAGATGCAACTAGCCCTCACCTGGCTTTAGACTATGGTTATCTCCAGCAAAGTCCAACCATCGGCATTACAGATTTTTAGGTTAGACTGCCCTATTTTCACCTCCCAATTCCAAAGTCAAATAACCATTTTTGGTTTTCCTTCTTTTTCTCGTGTTATTATATTGGATCTAAATTAACGCACTCTAGACAGTGTATTCATTCTCCTTTTACTGTTAGCTTTTTTCTTCCCTTGTACTAACACTTTCTTGGAGGTTTCAATAACCTTATTACTCTTTTGTTTTTTGCATTTAATGATTTTAGGGTTTCTAAGAATGTTCTTCCCAATGCCTTTTAGAGTTGTTTTGTGAGCATCAACTGTCTGCACTTGACCCAGCTCAAAGTTCTTTCATTTCTGCAATTAATGGAACTCATTTCCTCAAAGGCTGAACTACATCTACATTTTTATTTTATTTTTTTAATTTTTTTTACATCTACATTTTAAAGCAACTATGGCAGCTTTTAGTGACATCTTTAAAAATGTGTGCTTTCCTTTTTATTCAGAAACCTCTCTAGTCTTCACCCCCTTGGTCTAAGTTTAACTCCCACAACTTATAATTCTCATTTGTGATCGAGATAGCCTATCATCTGTTCTACATCAATACCAAAACGTGTTCTCCAGAAGAAATCTGATATTATCCTATCAAAGTGTGAATTTAAGTCATAATGTTACCTTTTCTAGGTACAAGAGCCTTATCTCGAATTGCAAAGTGACACTCTTCAGGGCTGCTAAAAGAAACTATTGTTCAAGATGGAGAGAAAGAGAAGACCCTTACCAGGTAAAACTCGAATGCCACCCAGACAGACCCCAGACGGTAAAATGTATCAGGAAGGCAAAGTTGTGAGGTATTAAGATGCTTTATTTATGAACTGGATGTGGTATCTTAGAATGTTTTCTTTGAAACTATGTTTCCCATTCGGGCTTCCTTGCTTCTTCACAGTGCCGATCTAGGTCGACAGGAGAAAGTGAGCCCATTGTTCCACATCTCACTTAAGAGAACACCACTTCAAAGCGAAGATCACCACCACCTGACAAAAATAAAACACGTTATCAGTTTTAAAGCATTGTGCCTGTGCTGATCTCAACTTTTCCAGGGATTCAAGTTATTTTAGGGCACCTACTCTGAATGACTATGTTCCTATAGCTAGAACAATAGAACCATCTAAAGAAAACTTCAATATATAATCAATTTCCAAATTTTCCCCTTAATATTAGCAAAGTACTGTAATGTTTCAAATTGCACCCTCCTACCCTCTGCTAAAAACAAAACCCAAACTTAAAAAACAGAGTTAATTCCCTGAACAAAGAAAAATGCACTTTTATCCAAATTCCTTTCAGCTTTTAAATACAAAACAGATAAAATAAACCATCCAAAGAAAACAAAAGTAATACTCCATAATGTCCCTTTTAGCTACACTACCTTTAAAAATTTTTGTTTTGCTAATTGCACTTAGTGGTTATAGAATTACATCTGTTGCATTTCTTGATGGTCAACCTCGTTCATGAGTAATCAGGTATTAACATGAAATAATTTATGAAACAGAGGGGACACAGATGTACTTAACCAAATTACATTTAATATACAGTTTTAATCACTTTTACTATTTATACTTGTAAGTTTTATATCTACCAATTTATATCACACTCTTCACATGAACCATAAGCCAGAGCTAAGTATACTGTATTTATAACATGATTTAGGATCTAAGATTTGAACAAGTTCCTTTTTTAAAATATTTTTTATTCATTTTTAGAGGAAGAGAGGAAGGGAGAGGGAGAAACATCGATATGAGAGCGAAACTACTTCCTGCATGCCCCCTACCGGGATTGAGCTGCAACCCAGGTATGTACCCTGACCAGGAATTGAACCAGCAACCTTTTGATGTACTGGACAATCACCAACTGAGCCACATTGTCCAGTGACCACATTATTGATGGGATAAGAATGTATCTTCGATATCTATGCATTTTGTCCCTTGAAAACAGTTTGACACATGGGAACTAGGTATGTGATTAGCTCTATATTCATCCATTCAGCAAATGTTTTTTGAGTAACAACTCAGGCCAAACATTTTGCTAGTTCTAAGAAAACAGTTGCTAGCAGGATATACATAATCCCTGCCCTTAAAAAGATGACATTATAGTGAATAAAATATTTACAAATTGTATAGTGAAGGAGATGTGCAAGGCGCTACTATATGAGTTGGAGCTGGGAAGGCATGGTTTCAGCGGAATGGGGCAGACAGGATCAGGAAGAACCCGCTGTGTGAAGTGAGGTGGGGGTCAGGTATGTTTTCTCCCCACCTCCTCACCCCCATCCCCAAAGTGAAAATTGAACTATCCAACTGGATACAATGGGCGAATAGGATAGTACTGTACTTCCCTGGTAGTGCATTTTTATGCACAGGCTAACTATATGTGTACTTTAAAAATGTGTGCAGTGTAGTTAGGGTAAAAAGTGAAAATATGCTTTCTAACCACCATAAAAATACTGTTGAGAAAAACTGTGAACAAAGTGAATTACTGCAGTTTATAAAAAGTTCCTTCCCGCAAGTGGAACCCTGAGTCTCAGAGCCAGGACTATTCAACTGCAGAGGATGAAACAGAACCCTTAGCTGTAGTATGTAAACATAATCTTGACTTCTTTGGGATACACTGGATATGCCAGGATCTGCAAATTAGAAAGGAACATAGGATGTTAAAAAGAGGAGCAAGTTTCCACAAATGGTCTCATTCTCACAAGTGATCATTTACCATCCTAAAATCTGGGAGCTAATACACCCTCTCCCCAAACCCCGCCCCCAATTCCTGGGGAGACAGAGTCACCAAATGTAAAATGTCCGAATGCTTAGCCACTAGAGGGAGAGAGTGTGCCTCTGGTGATTAGGAAGTCAAAGAAAGCAACTCCTGAAAAGGATAGTCTTTCAAGGGAGCTAAATTAAGCTCTAATCAGCCAGGGGGCAAGGACTTTATCAACTGTGGTAACTCTGAGTAATTTTAGGATAATTCCTTAAAACTTCATATTGGTTCCTCTTCTATTAAAGAATTAAAATGCTTAAACTAGCCAGACATTTCATTTTCAGTTTTAAGTCATCTTTCCTAAGGACCTCCATAACTTTGTAGATACTTAAACACTTAGGCTGAGTTTTTAGGAGGGATTTATGGCAACTTAGAGAAGTTATGTTACCATTTATATACTGGGAATCAACATTCCACTTTTCTAATTTAAGGTTAAAATATTTGCTATCTATTGGGATGATTAAAATGATTTGTGGAATTCTGTTGTCTTTCCTAAAATATGTCATCAAGAAAATTACTTTTATTTATCTAATTGACAGGTTAAAAAAACAACAACATATAACTCATCAGAACTGCAATTTCTCTTAAAATTGTCCTACTAAAGTCATTGGTAGCCTGAGCCCAAATGACTTGCTCTCCAATGAATATTGGTTCATCTTGTTTTCAGTATGGCACCAACTATAATTTTTCCTAATTCAGTAACCAGCCTACTGGTTACACTTGTCTAATAAACTTTTAAAAAGTAATTCATTATAAAATGTAAATTTAGTATTAGACAAGTTATACACGGTATCCATTACATAGTGTGCATCAACGTGAATGAATTCCTCCATCACAAAATCTAAAGGAAAAGACATTATCCAAAATTTCCCAGACATACAGAGTAGTGCTGAAGATATAGTTAATAGTTAATGATTTTATTTTCAATGTGTCATTTTCTATCCTCAGCAGAAAAAAAAAAAAAAGCAACTCAGCAACTATTTCTGGGATTCTTGGAAGGAGGAGCTCGGTGCCCGCGCCTCCTCTTTCAGCATTGATTTTCCTCACAACCTGTGACATGGTTTCTCAGAAACGCTGTTGGGTAGTCCTACTAATTCCGTGTGTTTTTTCAAACTTAAGCCACCCAGACTCCACAGTTCAGTATTTTCAGGTCCTTTCATTTTCCTTTTCCCTTTCATTACAGAAGTCTCTATTCCTTCTTTTTGCAAATGTGGTCAAGGAAAAAAAAAAAAAAGCCAAATGCTACTATGTGTAGCAAAAGCACACATTTAACTCGATCTATTTCAGTTGTTCCCAAATCAATTTAAAAAGCTGTGCCATAACGAATGGTGGCTATTGATGGGCAGCACTGGGCTCTTAACAACTTTCTGGACCCTCACGCGTCCCTGGGACTGGGGTGGATGTGGCAGCCGCCCGGGGAAGAAGACGCCAGCAAACGCTCTAATTTTAAAACTTGCCCCGGGAAGCACTTCCAAAATAGTAAGCGCTGAGCTGCATCTCAGACCCGACTTTCCCTTCCCCTCCGCTCCCGAGGACCCCCGCATCCCGGTCCGCGCCCCGGTCAGTCGGTGCCGTTCACCGGGATCGCGCCGCGGAGTTTATTGCGAAGCCCAAGTGGGTGGGTCCACGCG